AAAAAAAAAAAAAAAAAAATATATATATATATATATATATATATATTTACAATCTTATTTGTTAATATTTTGATTTCAGTTTTTTTTTAAATATTTTTATGTTTTAGATTTAAAGTTTTTGTCATTTTTCTTTTTTTTTTTTTTTAAATATGTCTTCTGAGTATTTATGGATATTTTGAATTGAGTTTTCATTTATATATTTTCCATTTTCATTTTATTTTAAAGTTTTAATCGTTTTTTTCTGTCTTTATAATTAGTTGTCATCTATCTTTATACTCATTAGTATTTTGAATGTTTAATTATTAATTTAGAATATTAGATTTTTATATTTTCTCTTTTCATTTTCGTTTTAAAGTTTGTATTGTTAAATACTGTATGTCTGTTTAGTTTGTATACATTTTTATTTGACTTTTAGTACCTCAACCTAAACTAAACAAAAATTAGAAACTCATTTAAGGTTTTTTTTTTACATTTTACGTTTTTTTTTTTTTTTACAATTTATATATATATATATATTTCTGTTAGCATTTAATTAATTTTTTTTATCAATGTTAAATGTGTTTTAGCATGTTTAGCTTTTGTTGATGTTTTGGTATGACTAAAAATGTATAATATAAAAAAAAATCACACAAGGTTCTAAAAAAATGTTGAAGCTTAGGGTTTCAGTGTCCTCCATTTTTTATATTTATTTAATGAAATATTAAAGTATTTTCAATATTATCAATGCTACTTTATGTAAAAGAATCAAATGGATGAGACCAAAAAACCCCATCACATAATGTTTACCATAGAGGACGTGACCTTAAAACAACATGTAGCAGCAAATGTATAGTTCAACATTAGACTTCAACAGAAGCCCCATAATGCACCAGTTCTCCGTGTGTTTTCATTCTGGATCAGTCTGAAATCCGTTCGGGTGCGTCTGAGCCTCTAAAGCTCCTCATCGGACTGCCCTTCATCCCAGCTGCACGTCTCTGGCACGCTGTCCTCTGGAAACGCCACCTCCAGATCATACACGAAGTCCGCATCCTCCTTGTGTTTGCGGTTGCGCTCGAACAGCTGGTCCATCTGGGCCTTCCTGCGGTTCAGCTCGTCATCGCTCAGTTTATTCAGGTCCTCGTCGCTGGGGTCGGACACCCGTCGGGCGGCGAGACTCTCCTCCAGACTGAGACCCTTCAGATGGTCACGCAGTATGAGGTGAAGCCTTTCCAGCTGAGCCAAAGAAACCGTCTCCAGATACACGCTGTGACGCGCGTGATGCTTCAGTCTCTCTGCTGCTCGACTGCAGTCTAGAAACGGGGTGTAATACTTTATATTCAGCTGAGTTTGTTTCTTCATCAGATTTGGAGAAATGTAGCATTGCATCACTTGCTCACCAATGGAAGTGAATGGGTGCCGTCAGAATGAGAGTCCAAACAGCTGATAAAAACATCACAATAAGTAACCCACAACACTCCAGTCCATCAGTTAACATCTGGAGACGACAAAAGCCAAGCCAAAACAGCTCTAAACAAATATGTGGCTGGATTTCGATGTGAGAGACAACAGGAGATGGACACTGGAGGAAGTGTTATTATGGACTCATATGTGACCCTGGAGCACTAGTCTTAAGTCGCTGGGGGATATTTGCAGCAATAGCCAAAAATACACTGTATGGGTCAAAATTATCGATTTTTCTTTTATGCCAAAAATCATTAGGATATTAAGTAAAGATCATGTTCCATGAAGATATTTTGTAAAAATTCCTACCATAAATATATCAAAACTTAATTTTTGATAAGTAATATGCATTGCTAAGAACTTCATTTGGACAACTTTAAAGATGATTTTCTCAATATTTAGATTTTTTTGCACCCTCAGATATCGGCCAAATATTGTCCTATCCTAACAAACCATACATCAGTGGAAAGCGTATTTATGAAAGCTTTCATTCGAATTTCGAAAAATTGACCCTTATGACTGGTTTTGTGGTCCGGGGTCACATATTTTAACCAGAAATGATGGTTTGAAGTTAAAAACATTTCAATAATGGATTTGTGCCTTACAAACACACAGGTTTTGGATTCTCTTGACATTAACTGATGGACTGGAGTCGTGTGTGGATTATTGTGATGTTGTTATCAGCTGTTTGGACTCTCATTCTGACGGCACCCATTCACATCCATTGATAGTATGCTACATTTCTCCAAATCTGATGAAGAAACAAACTCGTCTACATCTCGGATGACCTGAAGGTGAGGACATTTTCAGCAAATTTTTCATTTTAGGTCAACGGCTCCTTTAAGTCAGTAGCCTATTTAATATGCATTTAAGGGTTCCTTTATGCGTTACATTAGAAAACGAGGTGTGATGATCGCTGTCAGACACTCACCTGAATACTGAGAGAAGCTCCTCACAGGTATGACTCTTTTCCTCATCTTGCTGGTGTTTGTGTTCTCATATATGAGGATGATGGAAGGGGGGATAAATGTCACTCCACAGCGCTTCGCAACTATGGACATTTTCACTCACGCTTCCAGAAATAATGTCCATAAAGAGTTTAAGACTATCTATCTATGTATGTAGTACTGTAACCATAGCAACAGTGAGATATTTCGCTTAGACTACCGGAATGTTGATCACTCGCTTGTTTCGCTCCGGTTTTCTTAAAGGCACAGGCTCACATTTAACACAATGCACGCGTTCGTAAATAAACCAGCTGCTGAGAGTGAAACGAAAGCGTTAGAGTTGTGGTCGTCTGACCGAGGTTTCCATCGCTGTTGTAACCGTTCTGCTTCTGCTGAGGGAGTTTCGCGCGCGACGCTCCACAGCGCCATCTACCGGAGCGACGTAATCAGAAACTGGGATGATTACAGCATGGCTAGGGTTTATTTATTAGCAACTGTTTTGTGTTTTATCCGTCGTGGGAATTCAAAACAAGGTATTTGCAACGCTAGACATGCTTGATTTATCATCAATTTGCATCAAATAAACGACAAAGCCTAATTTTTTCCCCCTCCATTCAGCAGATTGTTGTCCATTAGGAATGGTTGAAGTCTGTGAAGATTTCCAAAGCAGGATTTCACAGGTCTCCTCTTGCTCTGTATGTGTTTGTTTATGTTTACCGCGTCTTGATGGTTAAATACGGTGTTTGGTTTCTAGAGATCTTCAATACAGAGTTCAGTGGAGCAACACGGATCACGATGTCCAAGCTTTACTGGTCCAGAAGCTGCCCAGTGGACGAATACCAGCTGGAAACACGGAGGTCAACACGGGTTTAGTCAGCGTATTAGGTGTCCGCTTGTAAACACTGCATTAACTGAGCACTGCTTTATTGTGTTGTAGGTTCTCCTGGATTCAGAGGTTGATCTGGAAGCTCCAGAGTATCTGTCCTCTGGGTTCACGGCGCTGGTTTTTCTCGCAGGAACGCACGAGGCTGTGGTTCCCGTTCACGGCCGATATCACAGACCCTCAGACTCCAGCAAACCAGTGAAAGTAGACATCGAGCCGCCCAGAGTGCTCCTCAGATCAGACCAGTGTGAGACACTGCAGACGTGAATCAAGCCTGGTCTGTCTGCTGAACCCAGCGTGTTTCTGTGCTTCTCTCAATCATAGGCCGCACACTGGGTGCTGGGGTACGTGGTGTAGTGGTCGAGGCTCCCTGTACCGTCAGCAACCACAGCATCTGCTCATGGATGGAGATCCTGGATCTAGTGGTGATGCTTATCCAGCCAAAGTGCTGTGACCCTGGACCACAAAACCAGCCATAAAGGTCAATTTTTCGAAATTTACATGTATGCATATAATATGTGTATTGTTAATAAATAATATTTTAGTATAATGCAATACGTGTCATAATAACATGATTTTGAGTAATATTTTATGTATTGTATAATAATAGCAATGTGTTTATATAATTGTATCTTTATAATGTTATTTATGAAAACATATGTTTAATATAATAATAATAATATATCATTGCATACGTACATATTTAAATGTAATTAATATATAATATGTAGTATTATTACTTATAATGATAATAGTTTCTATGTAATGTACAATATAATAATAATACATACTTTAATATAGGCTAATGTAATATTAATATGAATAAATATGTATTATAGCAATGTTCATGCATACTTTAATGTAAATGATATGTAGTGTTATTATTTATAATTGCATATTATATAAGAATAGTAAATAATAGTATATAATTTGATTTATAATAGTAATAGGCCTATACAATATTATAGCAAAGTTCATGCATATTTGTAAGTAATATATTTGTAATTATTTATAATAATATATAATATGCACAAAATTGACTGTAACACACACACACACACACGCATACTTATTATAATAAGATATTGTTTTATAATATATAACAATACATATTTTGATTTTATTATTATTAATATTTAATATAATATATAATATATCATAGCAGTGTTCATGCATGCTTTAATAAAATATATATTCATCATGATATTTATAATAATTGATTTTGTATAATATAGTATAATATAATTATAACACATATTTATGATAGTAACATATAACAATATTATTATTAATAATAAAATACCATATGATACATAATAATAATATGTTTATATAATTTTATATTTATAATAGCATTATTTATAATAGAAATATTATTTTATGCAATATATAAAAAATATTTAGATTTTTTTATTATGATTAATATTTATATATAACGAAGTTCATGCATACTTTTAAAAAATGTATATTTATAATAATACTAATATTTATTATAGCAAACTTCATGCATGTTTTAATAAATTGTATATTCATGATATCATTTATAATAATTAATTTTGTATAATATAGTATAATATAATTATAACACATATATTTATGATAGTAGCATATAACAATATTATTATTAATAATAAAATACCATATGATACATAATAATATTTTTATGTAATTGTATATTTATAATAGCATTACTTATAATAGAAATATAATTTTATATAATATACAATTTTTTAGATTTTTTTATTATTGTTAATATTTATATATAACGAAGTTCATGCATACTTTAAAAAAATTTATATTTATAATAATACTAATATTTATTATAGCAAACGTCATGCATGTTTTAATAAATTGTATATTTATAATAACATTATTTTTCATTAAACATTTTATAATGTAACAATAACAAATATTTAAGTATAGTTTGATATTATAATAACATGGAGTAAATGCAGTGTTTTTGCTGCTGCGTGTGGTTCAGGGTGACGCAGGAGTGAGTCGCTGATCCTCACAGTGTGTGCGGGGACTGTACTGACCGCTGTACTGAGCTGTGTTTACCTGCTCCCAAACATCTGACCACAGGCTCAGATCCCTCACACAGTGTCAGTGGACAGAAGAAGCTAGAGCTAGAGCTAGAGCTAGACCACTGCTTTAGAGAAATGTGCATGCATGAATATGATGCTGTCAGAGTGTTACTGTGTTACTCTGATTGTAAATAAAGCTGGATTTTACTTTGTTTAAAAATATATATTTTGCGTCTGTCTGTTATTACATCAATGTTTAAAATGAAATATGTAAAATAAAATAAAATATAAAAAATATTTTAAATAAATGTATAATTATTAGCATTAAGATTATTTCTATTTTATATATATATATATATATAAAATGCAATTTTGAAATATATATTAATATTTAAATTAAAAATGTATAATTGTCATAAAAAATATAAATATAATGAATTAAAAAGTTCCCATTAATGCTGATTTAATACTGTTTAATTATTTAAGTAATAGATTTATTGTTAATTTTATGATAATTATTATTCATTTATTCTGACACTATTTTCATGATATGGTTATGGCCATCCTAAAAATCACCTTAATATTTTAATGCTAAATATAATTACTTATTTTATTATTATTATTAATAGTAATAATAAATTATTATTAATCTAAGGACAGTTATTCTGACATTATTTTTCTATATATATAATGCAATTTTGAAATATTAAATAATTAAATGTTTTAAAAACACATAATCGTCATTTTTTATGCATAAAGGTTTTATATAAGATGTATAATATAAAGTAAACTATTTAAAATTATATACAATTTATTTTATCTCATATTATTACTATTATTTTTATAAAAATAATTGTGAAAATAATATATATTCTTTTTCGAGAGATTCTTTTATGTCTGTTATTACGTCATCAATATTTTGAGACATATATATTTTATTAAGATTAAAATATTGATATATATAATCATAATTGAATGTGTGTGTATACAATTCCAAAGTATCAAATATTTAAATAATATAAATCCTTTAAAAAAAGTATAATCCTTAATATTAACGCATTAATGTTTATATAATACATACAGATTAAAAGTTATATATATATATATATATGTATATATATGCTATTAGCAATATATGAATTACGCAATATTAATAATTATAATATTCAAAAATATAAATAATATATACATGTTAATTGCAATAAATAAATCAATAATTCCCGTTAAAAGTAATTCTGGAATTGAATTCGATCGCCGGACTTTTATTTTGTCGCACCGGAAACAGTCGCTGGATGTTTGCTGCAGGCGAGGGCAGAAAGAGACGCTGCTGGGCGCCTCCCCTTCCCCAAACCAGCACAAAAAACTACCCAAAATCAAGCGATACGCTGCAGATCACGGCGCAGAAACCTTCCGACGGGGCTTCGGCGTCGCCTCAGGCTCTTCCCGGACAGAGCAGCTCCTCCGCGGCCCGCTGGAGCGCGTCAGACTGAAGTTTGAGCTCCGCTTCGCAGGTGAGCCGCGACAAAACCCGAGATTCTCCTCCGGCCGCGTCCCGAAACCTAGTGTGCTGCCTACCGCTACCTAGACAGCAGCCTCGGGTGCCTCTGTGCAGCGCTGTGTATGTAGGGCTCGTGTCTGCAGGCAGCTTTCAGCTCTGGGTCGGGTTTCTCTCTCTGTGTGTGTGTGAGTGTCTCTGTGTGTGTGTCTGTGAGTGTGTGAGAGTGTGCGTGAGAGTGTGAGTGAGTGTGTGTGTGTGAGTGAGTGTCTGTGTGTGAGTGAGTGTCTGTGTGTGAGTGACTGTGTGTGTATGTGTGAGTGTATGTGTGTGAGAGTGAGGTGAGTGAGAGTGAGTGTGTGTGTGTGTGTGTGAGTGAGTGTGTGTCTGTGAGTGAGTGATGAGTGAGCTGTGTGTGTGTGAGAGTGTGTGAGTCTGTGTCTGTGTGTGTCTGTGTGTGAGTGTGTGTCTGTGTGTGAGTGTGTGTGTGAGTGAGTGTGTG